CGCATCGATGGGAAGCAAAATGCCCTCCCCCGTCGCCGAACTGCGCCGAAAAGTTCCATGCATTTTGAGAAATTTAGAGTATCCGCGAATACCCCTAAAGCTCCTCTGGAGTCGATTCCACGGATGATGAAGGCTCTTATCAAGTCCGGTAGTAAGCAAACCAAATTCTGAGCGCTGAATAGTTTTTTTTTCTCGTCGAATTCCCGCTATCTGCTTACCTTTCCACTGTTTTGCTGTTGAATGAGAGCTTCAGAACTGTTTGAAACGCGATTTTGTGGTTTGTTCCAAGTTTTTCTTTCCGCAGCTATCTCGTTCTCTTACAAAGTGCAGCGCTGTTTGGCTTGGGAGGGGCATTTCACATTTTCGCTAGTTCCTTTTGCTAGTTCCTGTAGAAGTACACTTCACACCTTGGTGAGACCTGCAGGCTCTTGTCACGTGTGAAGCTCCTGCTATTGCACAGCTTTACAGGAATTAGCAGATACCCACAGGAGTCACCGTCAGTGATCGATGGGAACCAGCGAAATGCCCCCACCAAGCCAGACTGCACCCGAAATGCTTCTCGGACTGTGAACTCAAAATAATTTGTGAAAAAAGAATTCTTACCTGGAGCAATTACTAGTCGGAAGTATCGGTCGATAGCGATAGCGCAAAGTGAAAACGTGCCAATGAACAAACCAATCGCCTGAATACCTCCTACCACTCGACACAACATCGAACCAAAGTACCTGAAAACAGTTGCCTTCTCCTTCCATGGTTTCTGCAACCAATTCCTTTATTAGGCACTGAAAGGGAGGAGGGGGGCAGCCTTTTTTACTAGTCCACACCCTCTTACTAAGATAGTGGTTCCCTTCTTACCTGCTCAGCCTCAACAGAGCGCGGACAAGCGGAATGGGCACGGTATGGTCTCGCTGTCTGCATGCCCCCTCCAACTACCCGTGCACTTTATCTCATGCAGAGGTCCCTCTGCATGTTTTCGCTGTAGACGCTGGGGCTTGTTCAGAGGGGGAAGGGGGATTGGGGAAGCTGGGTTCGACAGGGCGCACCCGTTCTAAAACAACTGTTGAAGCGAACAAGCGACTACAACTGGTGCAACTGGCGCCGTGCCAAATTCGCTGTGCGCAAAGGTCGCGCTCGCAACCCCCAACCCCGGCCTCCAACCCGCGCTGAGGGCAGCGTTCAGGACTTACGCGACGGCAGGCCCTGTCCCGCGTTTGAATGCGATCGATGTCGCATGCTTTGGACTGTACGGATCGCATGCGAACGCGCGACAGCGAATGCTCCGCGGCGAAGTCTTGAACGCCTGTCTTGAGTGTCTTGAGCAAATAACGGACTACGCTTGACCCATTGTTTGCAATCGTGTGTTGACTGCGCCTGTTAGTGGAATAGACAGCACGCAAAGGATGACGTCACTGACGGCCAAATTCACTATGAAGATATTCTGCACAGTCTGAAGACTCCGATGTCGTACAGTAGCGTAGATAACACCTAAATCAGGTAAATTGGCTAAACGGGTCTTAAAAATACTTAGGGTGCACTTACCTAAATTACCGGCAAAACTGATCACAAAGACAAATGAATACAGTACGGCAAATAATGCAACCGTAACCGGATGATTGCTCGGATCAGGAAATTTTTCCGTATAGGACCGGCAAACGACCATGCCATCTGCAACGATTACAAACATAACTCACTGGCTTTGTCAATATAAACCCTTTTTCCAGAACAACTACGAAAGAACTTGTCTCCTTAGCGGTTAAGTAGGCTTCCTGAAGCCGCAGGTGTGGGGTCTGGTACCAGCGCACGTATATCTTGGGGATCCTCAGCGAGGAGATCGTATTTGGTCGCTGAAGGGAGGGGGTCACATGAGTCTGTGACGGCAATTTTTGAGTATAAACTGGGGAATTATGAAAAAAAAACGGAAAAATGGTAGGAAGCTGGGGAAAATTCAGGTAATTGAGTGCATAGGGAGACGGTTGGTAGAATCGAGGATATGGAAGGGGGAATTGGTACTAGGAGAGGAAATTTGGGGGGTCGTTATTCCCAAAAATCTCTCCTCAACAGCAGAACGTGCCCTGGTTTCTGTTTGCGCGTCCCTGCGGAAATTTGTCGTCCTGTCGCACACTGCAAAACCGCGAAGCAATTTCGTAACAAGTGTCGCGCAATTTTACCGCGCGCGATGAGATGCGAATAAGCGCGAAGCTCACAGGAACAAGTGCTGCGCACCACGAATCAATAAATTTGGTGATTTTTTGGGCAAAGCGGCAATAGGTAAGGTCTCTCCTACCCAGTGATGGTAAAGCTCCAGCCCCTTGAAGTAAGCTTTCAGAAACGAACTGAAACCATGTGGGAGTGAATATCAATCTCACAGGGCTATTGCAGAGCAAACCCTGCTCATGAATGGGATGCTATCACGTGCTGTGATTTCATGGGTGGAAAAAGAAGTAAAGGAAATTTCCTGAAAGAGAGGCGAGAAATTGAGGAAGCACACTTTTATATGAAAAACCCAACTATCAAGAGTTTTTTGGTACAGTCGCAGAAGGGGTGCAGGCGGTTTGCAGAATGCAAAGAAAGGCAGGAGGATCAGATTTTGCGTGACGTTTTGAATATTCGAAACTTGAAGGATTCACGTCAGATTATTGATATAATAA